TATATATATATATATAGTTATATATATATATATATAGTTATATATATATGTATACATTTTGGATTTTGGTTTATCCACAAACAAAGTTTTTACAAGCATATAAATAAATATTTATACTCATACATGTTTGTTTTTACGTGGATAAATTGGTTTGGTTTAATTTCATAGATATGAAACAAATATATATTCATATTCATACTCATATGTTTCATATTCTATTGTATTTGTGAAAATACTATATTCATTGTTTATAGACTTCATAACAACAGTATACATCTTTCTTCAAGTTTATAAAATCATTTTATATTGTTTCAAAACATGGTTAAGCTAAAATGTCAAAACTCATATGTTCACATTTTTATGTTTTGGACTATTTTGCAAAATGATGATATTTTTCATTTGGGATGTCCTTTTTAAAAACCAGTTTTTGTAGCATGTGTATTATCATGTCTACAATCATTTCCCAAAGTTTTATATTTTTGGAATTTATTTGATATTTTTAAACAGGGTTTTAAAATCAGATAAACAGTTTTCAAACCTGTATTTTCATGTATCAGTTCGCGGTCGACCGTCACGGTCGACCGCGACTATGTTTTTCCCTCAGGAGCCAGCAAAAACTTTTGCGGTCGACCGTGGCGGTTGACCGTCTACTCGGGAACTCCTGCGGTTGACCGTCGTGGTCTACCATAGCCTTTTTTTTATCGTTTTCTCAGTTTTGATGACCTTCGCGGTCGACCGTGAAAAACTCACGGTCGACCGCCGATCACCCAACGGTTATTTTGGTACAGAATCAGATTTTTGATTCTTAGGCTTTTTGGTCTTTTCCTCTAGGGTTTTTTGGCTGAGATTTTGGGAGGCTATATATACCCCCTTGCTCTCATCTTTCAAAAAAAAATCAAGAAAGTTTTTAAACAAGTTTAAGGGTGTTTAATTTTGGTTCAAGTTTGTTTTAAAAGAGTTTGTTTGTGAAGAAATTTTCACAAGAGCAAGTGGAGATCATCCTTTGGTGTTTGTGTATTCAATCTTCTCCCTCTCTCTTGTTATCTATAGAGAAGTTTTCTAAACTCAATTTCTAGCTTTGTATTTACATTGTTTATTGATTATCATCTCTATAAGCTAGATTTTCATAATTGAGTTTAGTTCAATTTTGTTTTATTGAATCTCATTGTT